TGTCTCTCTCCTCCTCTTTCTCTCTCCTTCCCTTTTCTCTCTTCATCTGTCTCCCAGTGATTGAAATAAATGGGGAATTTCAGTAAATCAGAATTTTCATTATTCTTAGTATCCCATGAGTAGTGAGATATAAGCTAAGTAGAGGAAGTCCTGGGTTCTCGATTATCCTAATTATAGTCAGTGTAACTCATAGTTTTAGTTCATATTAGCATTCTCTGATAGGTCTCATTTAAAAAGAAGTTTTACTCCTTTAAAAGTATGAAACTGAAAGTATAAGTTACTAATCAAGTAGAGGTGTTATTAGAGAGTAGAGGACTTGGCTCTCCTGTGGCATAGTATTTGAGGTTTCTCTTATAGTCAGTACCAAGCTGAGTGGTGTGCTAGTCTGAGCCAACACAACAGTTTTTATAGTTTTTTTCTAGTTATATTACTAAAAACATAATTGTTGCAAGATAGTATTATAAAAAGTATTTTCTGATATGAGACTGCTATAATAAAATGAAGCAAAGAACAGACCAAAACTCAACTTGATGGCACCTAACCATGTGAATAGAACTATTTCATTTTTATATATATAGAATGGGAGTAAAATTGATAGAGTCATCATGGAGAGTAATTTGGCAATATGAACAACAGCGTTAAGAAATGTTTCTGTTACTTTAGCTTAGCTCATGATCTCACGGTTTGTGGGTTCTGTGCTGACCTCTAGCTCAGAGCCTGGAGACTGTCTTCAGATTCTGTGTCTCCCTCACTCTCTCCCTCCACTGCTCATGCTATCTCTCTCTCTCTCTCTCAAAAATAAACTAAAAAACATAAAATTTTTTTAAATTAAAAATGTTTCTGTTCTTTGACCTTAGATATCCCATTCTTGGAATCTTTTCAAAGGGAAAAATTATATTGAGCAGATATTACTCTTTAGTCCACTCAGTATAATTTGATTTAGCAAATTGTGGTTAACTCATTTCATGTTATTTTGGTGGACCTGACAATCATGTGACCCTATCATAAAAGTGGGAATAGGACCCAGCTTGACCAATCAAAAGACTTTAGCCTTTGGTGGGGAGGTCAGGGTGGCTCAATCAGTTAAGAGTCCTACTCAGGTCCTGGTCCCATGATCTTCAAATCTGGCTCTGCATTGGGCATGGAGCCTGCTTGAGATTCTCTCCCTCTGCCCCTCCCCCATTTACGCCTATGCACATGTGGACACACTCTCTCTCTCAAAAACAAAGCAAAACAAACAAACAAAAAAACACCAGCCTTTGGGAAACGGTGAATGGTCTATGAGTTGACCATGACCCAAATATTGAGGTTTTTGTGAATTGATAAGGACACTAAGAAAGGGTCACATTTGTTTGGGGTCATTAGAGGCCACCTTTGCCATCATATGACTGGTCCAACACAAAGGAAAAGAGAAATAGACTTGAGAAATACAGAATCACCTTCCTAAAATGACACTCCTGAAGACATCTTCTGAACCAAATATCCAGCTATGACTGAAGCACCATCACTTGGACTCCCTGTTCGAGTCAAATACATTTCCTTTTTTATTACAAAAACTTTTGTTGTTTTTTATTGAAATATGGTTGACTCACAGCGTTACATTAGTTTTAAATACATTTTCTTTTTTAAAAACAAGTTTTGGGTTAGGCTTCTGTTTACATGCAACCTAAAGTGCCTTCACTGTATATGATCCAAAAGTAAGAAAAAAAGTTGATGTAGATATTACCTAATTTTTTTAATAAAAATTATTTTTTAATAAAAGCATTTTTGAGATATAATTTACATACCATACCATTCACCCAGTTAAAGTATACAATTCAGTCATATTTAATATGCTCAAAAATGGTGCAGTCTCTCCCCATTCCACCTCCACCCCTAGGTAACCACTGTTTTACTTCTGTCTCTGTAGATTTACCTATTATGGACATTTCATATAAGTGAAGTCATGTAGTATTCTGGCCTTTTATTACTAACTTCTTTCACTTTGTATGGCTTTGTACTTCATTCCTTTGTATGGCTAAATGATATTTATTATATCGACATACTAAATATTGTTTATCCATCCATTGCATCATGGACATTTGGGTTGTTTCTACTTTTTGGTTATTATGAATTATATGGCTATAAACATGTATGTATGAGTTTTTCATTTGGGTATATATTTAAGGTTATTGGGACATATGCTAACTATTTTTAACCATTTGAGGAACTGCCAGACTGTTCTCCAAAGTGGTTGCACCATTCTACATATTTATCAATAGTGGTGTATAAGATTTCCAACTTCACTTGTTTGCCAACACTCATTAATATCTGATTTTTAAATTATAGGCACCTTAGTGAGTATGAAGTAGTTTACCATTATAGTTTTGGGTTTGTTTGTTTTTTCATCATAATAAATATATTCTTTAATCCCCATCACCTATTTCACCTATCACATCTCCCTCCCTCCCCCACCATCCCAACCTATCCTCTGGTAACCATCAGTTTGTTCCCTATAGTTAAGAGTCTTTCTCTTAGTTTGTCTCTCTCTCTCCTCTCTCTTTTTCTTTTTCATTTGTTTTCTTAAATTCCACACATGGATGAGATCATATAGTATTTGTCTTTCTCTGACTTATTTTGCTTAGCAATTACATTCTCTAGATGTCCATATTGCAAATGGCAAGATTTCATTCTTTTTTATGGCTGATAATATTCCATTATATATATACACCACATCTTCCTTTAGTCATTCATCTATCCATGGACACATGGGCTGCTTCCATAGTTTGGCTATTGTAAATAATGATGAGCTAAATATAGGGGTGCATGTATTCCTTTGGATTAGTGTTTTTGTATTTTGGGGGGTAAAAATCCTGTAGTGCAATTACTAGGTCATAGGGTAGTTCTATTTTTAACTTTTTGAGGAACTTCCATACTGTTTTTTATAGTGGCTGCACTGGTTTGCATCCCCACCAATAGTGCATAAGGGTTACTTTTTCTCCATATCCTTGCCAACACTGGTTGTTTATTCTTTGTTTGATTTTAGCCATTCTGACAGGTGTGAGGTGATGTTTCATTGTAGTTCTGATTTGCATTTCCCATATATTGATGAATGAATGATGTTGGGCATCTTTTCATGTGTCTTTTGAATAGGGCATCTGGATATTTTCTTTGGAGAAATGTCTGTTCATGTCTTATGCTCATTTTTAATTGGATTTTTTGTTTTTTTGGGGGATGATGAATTGTATCAGTACTTTATATATTTTGGATACTAAACCTTTATCAGATATGTCATTTGCAAATATCTTCTCCCATTCCATAGGTTGCCTTTTAGTTTTGTTGATTATTTGCTTTGCTGGGTGGAAACTTTATATTTTGATATAGTCCCAATAGTTTATTTTTGCTTTTATTTACTATGCCTGAGGAGACCTATCTAGAAAATTGTTGCTACAACTGATATCAAAGAGGTTACTGAAAACTTATAATTTTCTGAGCATAAGTTTTACACATTTTTTATTAAATTTATTTCTAAGTATATTTTTATTTTTGATGACATTTTAAATAGAATTGTTTTCTTCATTTTAATACAAGTGTTTGGAATAACAACTGATTTTTTTATACTGACTTTATATCCTGCAACCTTGCTGAGATCATTCATTTTTTCTAAGAGTGTTTTAGTGGATTCTTTACGGTTTTTTTCTGTATACAAGATCATGTTATCTGTGAATAGAGAGATAGTTTTCTTTCTTCCATTTTTTTTTTTTTTTTTAAAGAAAGACTGCACATGTGCACATGAGCTGGGAGGGGAAAGGGAAATTGGTAATCTTAGACTGGCTCCATGCCCAGCTCAGTCTCACAACTGTGAGATCATGACCTGAGCTGAAATCAAGAGTCAGACACTTAACTGACTGAGCCACACAGGTGCCCTATTTTTTCCTTTCTAATCTGGATTCTTTTACTTTTTTTGTTTGTTTGCCTAATTACATTGGGTAGAACCTGTAAGATAGTGTTGAGTGAAAGTGGTGAGAACAAATATCCTGTCTTATTCCTGATCATAGAGGTAAAATGTCTGGTCTCTTACCATTAAGTATGATATTAACTGTGGGGGTTTTTTTTGTAGATGCCCTTTATCAAATTGAGGAAGTTTCCTTCTGTTGCTAGTCTGCAGGGCATTTTTATCATGAGAAAGTGTTGATTATTTCAGATGTTTTTCTGCATCTGTTGAGATGATCATGTTGCTTTTGTTGTATTGATGTGATGTATTACATTAATTGGTTTTCAGATATTAAATCAGCCTTGCATTCCCTGGGATAAGTCATACTTGGCCATGGTGTATGATTATTTATATATACATTGGGGTTCAGTTTACTAATGTTTTGTTGAGGATTTTTATTTTCATATTTATATAAGCATATTGATTTTTGTTTTCATGTGGTTTCTTTCTCTGGCTTCAATAATGAATTGAGAAATACTCCTCAATTTTTAGAAGAGTTTGTAAAGATTTGTAGTTAATTATTCTCTCAATGTTTGATATAATTTACCACTGAAGCCATAAGGGCCCAGGCTTTTCTTTGTGGGGGTAGGTTTTTTGATTCTTGATCAACCTCTTTACTGCTATATGTGTATTTGCATTGTCTGTTTCTTCTTTAAGTCTGTTTTCGTAGTTTGGGTTTTGGGGAATTACTCTGTTTCATGCAACTTAATCTAATTTATTGGCATGTAGTTGTTCATAGTATTCCTTTTAATTTTATTTATGTAAGGTTGATAGTAATGTTACCTTCTTAATTTCTGATTCTAGTAATTTTTTTTTTTTTGTCAGTTTCACTATACTTTTGTTGATTTTGTTCACCTTTTCAGTGAATGAGCTTTTGGCTTTTTTGACTTAATTGTGTTTCTATTTAATAATAATGTTTTCATACTAATAGAGAGATATTTCTTAAAATTAGTTTTTCACAATAGAACTTAATATATATCACATGTTTTGCAATGTTATCTGAGCATTAATTTATCTGTCCAATCAGATTCTCAGATGCTTAACACCGGAAATGATTTGAAAAAAAAAGTCAAAAGTGACTCAGTGCTGCTTACCAGTGAAGAGTATGATGTGAAGAAACAACACAGTGTCACTCAAGCCACTCAGACAAGTCCGGAGGTTCCTTGGCCTTCTCAGTCAGTTAACTTTCCTGGGTGCTCCTTTGAGTTTACTAGGGAACAGGTAATGGGAAAACTAATTTATTCTCATTTAGTTTGGGCAATTAAAATAAATACTAGATACTAAGAAGTTAAAACATTATTCATTTATATATTTAAGTGATGTTTATGGAGTACTTGTTATGGGCCCAAGCACTGTGTTAGATGCCATGGATATGGTGGGGAGCAAGATTGGAACATTCTCAATCTTCACAAAAGTTGTAGTCTAATGAGAAGATAGTGGAGTAAATGTGGGAGAGTAACCAGTTCCTGGAATCTAGAAAAGATTCCTGGAGGATATATTCTTTTTGATGTCTTATTTTTAAGTTTGTAAAAGTATTATAATACTTCAGAACATTGGAAAAATATTTTTAAACAACTTTAATGCATTCTAACTTTCTGTATTGCTATCAATATATATTTTAAAAAGTTTTCCTCTCAGCCTCTTTCCCATAATTTTTCAAAATAATTATTCTATTGTGTATGCTATATATATTTTTGACTTAACATGGTTTAACAAATATTTTTCCATATTGCTCCATATGCTTCATATTTATTTTAATGGCAGAGTAATATGGATGTGGATGTACTATCATTTTTTTAAGTTTATTTATTTTGAGAGAGACAGCAAGAGTGCAAGTGGGGGAGGGGCAGAGAGAGGGGGAAAATCTCAAGTAGGCTCTGTGCTAAGTGGGGCTCAGGCTCATGAAACTGTGGGATCACGACCTGAGCCAAAATCAGGAGTCAAATGCTCAACCAATTGAGCCACCCAGGCGCCCCTGTGCTATCATTTCTAATCCTTCCTCTTAATATTTGTTAACATTTGAGTTGCTTCTTGTTTTTTGTTATCATAAGTAAAATATCCAGCAGAATTTTAATTCTCTGTGATAGAACCAAAGAATGAGTTCATTTATCTGTTCACCAGAATTTTTTGGGTGTCACCTTTGAGCTAGGAATAGAAAATTAACATCATCCCTATCAAGAAACTTGAAGTCTAGGGGGAAAGATGGAAGTGTGTAATTGATGGTCATAACATACTGTGTCAATTGCAATGCTGAAGATTGAAAAAAAATGTAGGGAAATACCCAGCTTGGTTTATAAGGCAGGAATTCTTTTTTTTTTTTTTTTTTTTAATGTTTTATTTCTTTCTTTTTTTTTTTTTTTT